ATTTTCAAAACAAAATTTTGAGGCAACTAAAAAAAAACATTGGCTAATGAATGAAAGGACTGCAACAGTGGCAGTTGATCATATGAAGAGACACAACAGTCAATAGTAGTAAAGTATAAGGCAATTTAAGTGTTCCAACTAATCTCTACCCTATCCACTTCAACAAGCCCAATGATGCAAATGGTCAGAGAACAAGCAGACTCCAATGTAAGCTAACCAAAGGGTCCATCCAACAATGGGGATAAAGCTATAAACGAGATGAGCCGAGCAAGTGCTTGTTCATATTTGAGTTGTTTCTTATCATCTTATTCAAGCTCGACCTGAGCTCGATTCGAGCTTTCTATTTGTATTCAAGCTTGGTTCACTTAAAATGATAGATGTTCATGTTTGGTCGATTCATACTTGGTTCATTTTGTGCTTTTCAAACTTTAAACAAATGAGATTTATCAAACTATTAACAAGCTTTACTTTCTAGTATATTCATTAGCTTAAAAAATGAGCCTTATTGAGACTACTAACAAATAATTATCGTATAGCATATGAACATATCTAGCGAGTGCTTTCGTGCTACCAAATGAACCTGTTGACGAGCATATCTAGTGAGAGTTTTCGATCTCCCAAACAAGCCTATTCACGAACAAACGAGCTCTAAAAATGATTTTTCTTATAAATAAGCTTGTTCATGAACACTTTAAATAAACAATCCAACAAACATGAACAAATACCTCATTTCATGAACAAATTCATTCAAATGAAAGAGTATAAAATAAAAAATAAAATTAATTTTTTTATAAAATAAGAATCATTTATTATCATAAAACTAATATGAGGATATATACCAAATAAAATTTGAAGCCAACCTTAAAACAAACATGAATCGATAGACAACTAGATTAGAAAGCGCTAAGATAGGAGAACACCAAGCCTAGTAGTACATGACTCGATTCAAAACTTAGAATACCAACATCCAAACAAACTTCAAAAACAAATGAAAGCCAAACAAATGAAACAATAATTAAAATTAAAAATAACTACCCTCAGAACAACCGACAAGCTGTTTCCTCACATGCAACGAAAAGTAGGCAATATAAAATAAGTGCTTAAAGGCTTACAAACCAAAGGTCCACAGCTACAAGGTCCAACGTCCACCAAAACTCCTCCGACAAATGCTACCAAATCAGCCAACAAACTCCTCCAATAGCTCAAGAAAAAAGATACAAGTGGAGTGGAACTTGCGGAGAGAAGAAAGAGGTTAAAAGCCCAAGACGAAATAGTGGGGAGGAAGAGAGAAATGGAACAAGCTCTCAAGCTTTTCCAAGGAAGAAGAAACCCTCATGTTTTTTACCAGACTTTGTTCAAATAATCAACAACCTTTTATGCTTCAAAACACCTCTAATTGATAAGAGAAAAGGGGGCAGCCAAACAGCCAATCCACCTCCAACCGAACCAATCAGGTAAGGAGAAATAGAAGGCCTGCATTTAATCCAGAAACAACACCCGAACAGCCACCCAGAAAATTGGAAAAGGCAGCCAAGGGGGAAGGAATGGACGGCCAGAGGAACCGGGATGGACAGCCAGGGTACCGGAACAGGCAGACAGAGGAACCGGAACAGACAACCAAAAAGAGGGAAGGAACCAGCCACGGGAAACAGAGCCAGGAGAGAAAAAATAACCGAGGGGTCACAGAGAAGGGAAAAAGGCAAAATTCCACTCCACTTAATGAGCTAAAACAGCAGCTCAAACATTTATGAGCTAGAACAAAACACATCCCAAAAGCGAGCAGCCAAGCCCAACCCGAGAAGCACCCATCAGCTCAAAGACCAAAGAACCCAAATAGCTAGCACACCCAAAGATTGTCAAGCCCAAGCACTACCTACTCATGATCATTGGATGTTTGTCATCATAGGATAGCATAAAAAAATAAAAAAACTATATCATTCAGATTACAATAAAAAAAAATAAAAAAATTGAAATTTGCATGCATCAATCGAGCTTCGTATTGAACTTGTTCAAAAACTTTAAATGATGTTGTTCATGAACATAAATGAGTTTAACGCATAATTGTTCAAGCTTGTTTATTTAACCATCAACTATTTAGAAAAATATTCAAACTTGTTTGATTACTTAATCAAACGATCACAACTGAACTATAATCGAGCCAAGTATGAGTACCTTTTTGAATGCTCGATTCATTTGCAGCCTATGATGCACCGACACTTCTTCTCAAAAAGGCGTGCAATGTCCGACACCGTATCCAACACGACACTAGTCCGACACTCCTCCGACACGTGTCAGACACGTCGAAAACGTGTCCGATTAAAAAATATTAAATACAAATTGGACATGCATGTCCGACACGCGTATCTTAAATATTTTATGAATTTTTTTAAATATAATTTCTTGTATTTTGCGGGATTTAAACTAAATTTCTTATTTCATATCCACAACACCAAATCAACGTCCGCATTTAATACCCAATCATCGAATATTCTCATTTTCATTTTTTTTTTTTGCAGTGAAAGTATTTTCATCTCCTCTCTTAGTGACTGATAAACGACATCGACGTCTGACTCTCGACAGCCTAATACTAATCATTTTAAGCACAAATACTAGAAAATGACTTATTATTTTAAAATTATACTTATTTAATTTTTATACACTATTTTTTAAATATAAAAGCTATAATACCGTGTCCAACCCGTGTCCGTGTCCTATATTTTCAATAACTAACGTGTCCCGTGTCCGTGTCGTGTCGTATCCATGTCGCCGTGTCCGTGTCTGTGCATAATAGTTTGCAGCCCTAATGGGGATGGCGAGCTCCAAGGAGGCAGGCTAAACCCCAATGCACCAAACAAATCATCAACAAACAATACATAACTTTTAACTAAACATCATTGCACCTAAATCCTAAAAAACTCAGAAAATCTTGCAGTTTATAGCCTATGATGTACCGACACTTCTCCTCAAAGAGCCATGTAGTATTTGACACGTATCTCACACGACACGCATCCATCACGCCTCCGACACGTGTCGGCCACACCGAAAATGTGATCGATTAAAAAATATTAAATACAAATTGGACATAAGTGTCTGACACGTGTCTTAAATATTTTATAATTTTTTTTAAATATAAAACTATTTTTTTTATTTCCTATCCACAACACCAAACTAATTGCCCGCACTCAATACCTCATTCATCAAATATTCTCATTTTTATTTCTCTTTCACGGGTCACAACTTTGGTTTCACAACAATGCCCGATGTCATCTCAACATCGATGTCTGACGCCGTTACAACATCGACATTTCAAAACCATTTCAACATCAAAATCGGACACTGTCTTGACATTGATGTTCGATGATAGCAATTCTACACCCGCAACTTGACAACTCATATTTTTCCGACGTCGCCTTAACATCAACAACCAACACCCTCTCAACATCGACAACAGATGCCCTCTTGACATCGACGCACAATACCTACTGCATAAAAAGCTATATTATTTTTAATATTATCCTTATACAATTTTTATACACTTCTTTTTAAATATAAAAGCTATAATACCGTGTCCATGTCCTATATTTTCAATAATTGACATGTCCTGTGTCCGTGTCATATCATATCTGTGTCCATGCATCATAGTTTACAGCCCTATTAATAGATGACCTCACAAATTCTAAATTTTGATGAAACATGGAAGACATCAAAGTAAGGAAAAAAATGTTATGAAATTCAAGATCTTGAAGCGGTAATCTCAGAGATTAGTGACCTCAAAAACCTGTGGAGTAGCAAGGTACCAATTTTCCATCCTACAAGTCATGGTTATCCTTTCATAAATTACTTGTATAAATAAACAGTACAGCCACTTTAATTTCTCCTGCATATAAGCATTCAGCAAATTTTCCCATGTAAATTTAAAGTGCTTTTATTATCAATATGATTATGCATACCAGCCAAAAATTTTAGAATGCTATAGATTACATATGAAAATAATTAGCATATCGCATCACAGGAATGGTTAATGTATATTAAATTGAAGTAGTCTATAATGTAAAACTGAATTACTCAATTTCTTCCATATTCGTCCAAATTCGGAAAAAGGAGAAAATCACTTGTTAAAAGTAAAACTGACATTCAACACAACTGAATTTTGTGCCAAGCCAAAAACCCAAGCTGTGCCTTTTCCAGTAGGCTAAAGAAAAGTCAAACAGTCAGAATTCAAGCGATTGAAAGACAGTGTAACAACAACCTCCAGGTTGTCCACACAGTAAGCATTTTGATCACATTAGCAACATTTCATTTGTTCAATTAAGTCGTAATAACAACAAAAGAAGACTTTAAAACACTGGTATCAAATGCTTCTCCTATCATTCAACATCTTCCCTATCATTCAACATCTTCAAGTCCGAAAATTTTCACTAATGTGATTGATAACCAATCTACTGCCAATATCACTTGTTGCCAAATTTGAATAAGCATATTTAATCAAAATAGTGCATACGTGCTTCTGTAATCAAGTATGTACCATCACATATTAGTTGGATTTATTGCTTTTATGTAGTGAAAAGTGTTGATAAAGTTGACAACATGTTGACATAATAATGTAATGTTAAGCAAAAGTGAATTCTATTACTCACTTAAGTTTGACATTGTGCAGAGGCTTCAGTATATACAGTAATAATTTGCTTTTTTTAATCATATGTTTCTTGAAATAAAACTCAATACAGAATAACTAATGTATAGTGTAAATTATGCAAATTCCAACACAAAAACCAGTTGGGAGATTAAACTTAGAGAAGTATTCTGACTACATCCAAATCATCATTTCCATTAACTTCATAAGTCAATAAAAAAAGCTGATGAGTTACATTCCTGTAGGAAAACAGATTGTAAGAGAATTGTCAAAAACAGGTCGCAGCAGATGATTTCCATAGCAGGAACACCATGTAAATGAAAAGATGAGAACAAAGGAAAGGCAAAAGTTATGACAAAATTCATACCACAGCCGGAGCAGCTCTCCTTGCTGAATCAAAAATATCATTTAATGCTTGCTCACTTTCACCAAAGTATTGACTAACAATTTCAGGCCCATTGACCAAGAAAAGGCGAGCACCAGCATCACGAACGCAATATGAAGCCAAGGTTGTTTTCCCCGTGCCGGGTGGACCATGAAGAAGTACACCAGTGTACCTGAATTTGGGAAAATAAAAATTAATCAGAAGCAAATGCAAGAAGCTTGAAGTATTTGGTAAGAAGAATCATCATATGGCAGTTAAGGAATGGAACATGAACAAAGATGTATCCATGTTGCCGAAATGCACATTTAACAAGAAGGAAAAATTATTCAGTTTCCTTGTTATATTAACTCATCTCAAGGAATAAGTAAAAGCATCAAAAAGAAACAAACATGTATGCCAAAAGAAGAAGCAAAACATCGCTAATTCAATCACATCCAAAAGAAGCTGCTACCATGCCAACCAGAGGAATTTCAAAAGAAAAAGCAGCCTTACTATGCCAAACAAGCAAAGCGAACACCATACGCATAGGTGAAACATTTCCAGAAAGAAAGGATTCACTCCACAGCAAAAGTGAGGAGTCCCCTCAAGAGGAAAGATAAGAAGCCTCAATCCTTCAAACTAACTCTAACTGGTAGGTCAAGAAAGTGTGGAGACCGAAGTAGACTTAGGTAACCCTCTGAAAGGTGTTTCCCTCATCTTCAATGTTCAGTTGCAGAAGCATATGGCCTAAAAGGGAAAGTCATGACATAAGAGGTTCCCCTAGCATGAAGTTTGGCTAATTAACTAGCCAAGCTTATGTGTTGACTGAGGAACTACAAAAAAGATGGAAACCTTAATAGAGATTAAGAAACTAGTAGAGAGTGCAGACCATGCAAACCTACATAAGCATAGACCAAGCCTAAAGAAGAGGCAAAACGACTTCGGTAAACCTATCCTACCCAAATCTGGCTTGACCAAGTAGTAGGAAAAAAACTGCATGGAATGTTTCATGGAATGCATGGCCACATAAGGCCACGCAAAGCAAAAAAAAGAGGTATTCGCCACCTTCTCTCACACTCTCCGTCTCTCTCTCACACACACTCTTGTTGTTCTTCCTTAGACAAATAATCATACTACATTATTGAATAAAGCTTGGCCAGCCAACCCACTTTAAATATAAAATTTTATTAATACTAATAGAATATTGAAGTACTTAGGAAAAGAGAAAAGTAAGGAGGATATTTAAGCAATTAGCTTACATTTAGGAGACTCTCTCTTACCAATATATTATGCAAGTTACTTTCCACATTGTTGCATGTAATCAAAGTATTCCCATAAATAATGCATGAAAACAGAGTTAGAAATGATTAGAATTTGAATTCTTTTGAATTATCTTGAGTTTACAAATAGACTAGTTATCGCGTTTGACTTTTCATAGCTATTTGAATGCAAATTTCAATATTGCTCCAAATACTCTCTCCCTCTCTCTAAGCAAGGATGACTGCCTCTCTCCCCTAAATCCAATAGGCTATAAAATACTCTCTCTCTCACACACACACTAGTTTTTCTCTTTGCCCAAAAATTCAAGAGAGGATGAAATTTAATACCTATAAAAGAAAAGTAGAAAGAAAAAATAGAAGAAATAATAACACGAAAAATATGAAACTGAAGATTTATTTAATAGGACTAGAACTAAGAATTTAAAACAAATGGAAAAAATACCTTTTTTCTCCTGTAATTCATCAAGAGATCAAGATAACTCTCTCTAAGGAGCTCAAAAAAATAAATAAAGCTTCTTAACATTATTCTTAATTACATACTTAAGTTGAAACTTAAAGAATTATATTTTGGTTGAAATTTACAATGTCACATCAATGCAGATGCACACCAAAAGACCAACATAACCAACTATTCTTCACCCTAATTATCCAAAGTAACTATTTATAAGCTATTCATTATTAAACAATAGGGTAGTTAAAAAATTTGCCATTAATTGATCACAAACTAGGGTCTATGTTGCCCCGATACGAATACGACAACATGGATACGACACGATACGAATACAGGCATGTCAATTCTTAAAAATACAAGATACGACTACGACGCAGACACGTCATTATAATTTATAAATCATACATAGAAATTAAAAAAGTAATCAAAACATTATATTTGAAATGACAAAAAAAATGAAAGCAATATCATTTGTAGCCTTGTAGCTTATAATATCAAAATAAAAGTATGCATTGAGTCAAGGGAAGAGTTAAAACTCATTGCCTATAAGAATTTTGTGACATGATTCCACTAATTATGTTGTTGCATGATTTGGTGGTATGTTTACTAAATAATATATGAGAGCAAAGCTTCTTTTTTCCATTTAAGAAGACATACAAACCACAATAACATAATTTTTTAATATATGAATCAAAAATCAAAGCATTACAAATGCAAAATAATTGATGCCCTAATATCATATTTTCTAGAAAATTAACGTCAATGTAAATGGCTCGCGGGTTCAAAAATGAGAGAACCTCGCTCACAGACGCGAAAGTAAATATGACGCATCTTTTTTCATATTTTTTTCGTCTTCCAACAGACAAGCGTGTCCTTCTGAAATTAAATAGTATTTTAATTGGATACGGTTTTGACGTACCCAACACGTATCAGTGCTGTATCGGACACGTATCGTGTCCAACATGTATCCAATACAGCACGCTTCATAAATAGGTGTATCGGTGCAACATAGACAAGAGTGAAAGAGAACCCTCCTATTGGCTGCATCATCAAGTCAAGTTTGCATATTGTGTGATGCATTGTCATCATAATGATCTACTAGCATAAGCATTTGCAGCAATACCTCTAATTTTGGTATAAGGATAAAGATGAAGATGATGCATGGAGCAATCTGAGTATCATAATGAAATTTAATGTGTTTCATTCATTCCTAGAATGATTAAGAAAACCAATGCGGTGCATGCACGTTTCAAACAATATTGAGGTTAATCTGTAAGCATTTATATCTAACACAAATTGAAACATCAACTTTTTTCATGGTTTGGCTAAATCTACATTTCACATACAAACAAAAATGTACAAAAAACATACAATTGGCTATAATATCTATTGCATTTCATTTCAAAAAAAACAACAGAAATATGGAGAAAATTGGTGCCCTTCAAATTAAGAGAAATATAGACAATGCATGTAAAAATATTAAAACTTAATGAAAGATATCAATTCCTTTGGGCCAAAACCCCATGCACAAGCCTAGACTTTTTTACATCATCCAATTAAGTGTGCAGATTAAAACATAATTTAGTTAATTTTCATTATCCTATGCAATAATTATTGTTTAAAATGATACTCATGTATCCCTTGAACAGTCCTCAATGCTTGAGAAGAATAGCATGTAAAGATCAAGACAGATTAAACATGTATTATCAAATAGATTCTATCTGTAATTTCTACCCATCAAAGTAGGCTAGTAAATTAGAGAAAGTCATAAACATTCATGTTTCAAATATACAATTCTAACCACATGAATAAAAAAACTAATGAGAAGTTGTTCGTAGAGAGAAAGACCTTAGTAAAGGATCCTTCTGTGCTAATGAAAATTTAATAATTTCCTCTAAAGCAGCAAATTCTTTAGATAAACCACCCAATATTGGTAAATCACTAGGTTCCTTTCCATTAATAAATTCAGATGCATTCCCTCCAAGAATTACTCGTTCACTTGAGCTTCCAAAAGCTCTAGATATGGGACCAGAGAAAGAAATTTTTGTTTTAGCTTCCACATAGAGAGCTGTGTACTCTGTACCCAACGAGCTAACCCTCTTAGCCCCATCAAGCAGCATATCATTATTGTCTTGAGAGATCAGATCTTGACTAGAGCATCTTGTTGTTAACTCGTCTGCACCTTCCACAGAAAATAACAAAACTTTTCCACATACTGGAACAGCAACAAGGTTTCCTTGAAGTAAAAATCTTCCATAAAGCCATTGAGAAGAAAATTTCTCATAGAGTAATTTACTTTCTTCATCAGCCAATGCCAACTTCAATGCTGACACATCCAAACATGCAGAGGAATAGCTACCTTGAGATGAGCGATGGGAAATTTTCAAGTGTAGCGGAGTAGTAAAAGTCGAAGGAAGCTTTGAGTGATAGGATGGAGTTTTTGGAGATTCAGAATTTCCATATCCATTTGCTGTGGAGGCAGACTCTGTTAAACTACTGTTGGTAGGTATGCTGTCATGAAAAGTAATTGGAAGCATATTTAGGTTAAGGTTCCTGCATTTGTGCAAGCGAAGATGGCAAGTATTGTTTTTATTGCTTTCATTGTGACAACTTGAAAAATCTCCAATGGAAAAAATAAATAATGCTTGGCCAATTGCAGGAAAACCCATGGTGCAAGAAAGACCCCATGACAACCTCACTCCATTCTTTTGAAGCTAAAAAAATAACAGAATCCATGCCAATTAAAAGTTATTCATGTGGATTGAAATGAAAAGTCTGGGAATAGATTGTGGAGAAATTTAAGAAATCTTTGTACCTTATTAGAAGAAAAAACACTGGCAATAGCAAAGTAAAATCCCACTTTATTTAAGAAGCTACCGCCAACATCAAATCCAAAATTTACGATGCTGTTCTCCACGAAACTGTACAACGGGAATTCCTTCAAAGGTTCTTTTTCTGATGCAGCTAAAGCAACCTGCTCTACGTCAACATAGAATCAGCAAGATTGATAAACCAAAAATGATAAACAAAGTAAATTAAAGACTTGAAACTACTCAATATTCAAGAAAGTAATAATTAATGCTGTAGAAAAACATGTATTTGTAACTTTTATGGCTTGATTCATTGTCCACATAAAATATCCTAGTAAAATACAAATTTTTTGGTGAAAATGATATCAACAAGTACTATCTATACTTCAAAAACACAAAATGCCACCTTCAATTTTTTTTAAAACCAATTTTAAACCAAGTAATAAAAAGTTAGCATGTTAGAATAACTAAATTGAGAGGTCGAAAAAATAATTAATGGGAAAATTACTAGGCTTTTTGGGTTTAGCTCACCTATACAAGGAGCATAAGTGAATGAACAAGGAGACATTAAAGGCCTCCAACAGCCAATCCCTAGCATCATGTTTATTGGTGTGCAAAGTTTATATGTCAGAAAATATTTCACGGATGGCAGACCCAGAGATGAGGTTATGAGAAAAGCGGCAGCAATGGACAAGAGTCTCCTATTAAGTGACTCATGGTAGCTGTGACCTTTAAAACTAGCAGAAATATCACTGGTGAGAAAAAGGCAGCGAGTGGTCAAGTAGACCATATTCTAATGGATTCTTAACTTTCGAAGTCATATGCCTAAGATTTGGCAGGCACTTGAGTCAATAAATTAGCGTCGTTTTCTTCTCTTGGCAAGGGAATTGTAGATATCGAATTCAGCTTTGGCTAAATGTTAAGGAATGATGTGACAGTATAGAAAAAATATTAGTGGTAATTTTTTTGTCACTTTTACTTTCATTTTGACAATTTTGATTCATTAAAATATCATTTTTTACTGGAAAAAAATATACAAAAGAGGAGAACAAGCAATCTGGAAAGAAAAACATGCTCTATAATTATAAAAAATGTTAATTTTAAAAAACACTCCATTGCATGACATATTGAAAAATAAGGAGTGATATGGGTAACTCTTCCCAAATAAGAAAATGCCCATATGTGGTCAACGAAGTATCAACACTTGGAGCACAGAAATCATAAACAAGTGAGCCCCTTGATCCTCATGAACATGGAAGCTTAATGTACTTAACGAGGTTTTCCCCTCAGGCCAGGCAAAACTTGCAGAAGAAATTGACAAGTACTAAGAATTTGACTGAAATAATGTTGAGACGTATAAAAAATGTTGAACCGTACAGAGAATTCTCTTTTGCAGAAGATATTGAGACTTACAAAATTTTCCCATTGAACATTTATCTAGAAATGTCAGATGGAGTAAGGTTGAGTTTGGATGCTATGAATTTGAATGAAATGAAATGGAAAAAAATAAAATAAAAAGCTCAAATCAATGGATGCAAATTCATAATCAAGCTACAAATTGTTTCATTTTCATTTTATTTCCTCCGCTTTCTTTTGATTCAAACATGCATAAGAGTTCATATAAGAATTTATCTGGACAGATTTGACAAATAGACTACGATCCAAGAGGCTATAAAGTTATCAAAGGCTCAAAATGTTTGCAATGGATTCCTCCAGAAACATACACAATATAATAAATAATTTCTAAAAAAAGCTTCCTAAACCACCGTGAGGCTTAGATGCCTTCTCCAACATAATAGGGTTGCAGCAAATAAGCATCTTCTACTCCACAAAGCCATAATGTTCACTATATGAAAACAACTCATCAACAACAATGTCAAGCCTTTATCCCACTACGTGGGGTCGGCAACATGAATCATTTTTCTCCATTGTGTTTAGGTAAGAGTCAAATTCTCATTTAAATCTAATAAAAAATATCATTTATAATACTTTATAATCTTTTTTTTAGGTATACCTCTACCATTCTTAACAAAGACTAAATCTAATGCATATACTCTCCTAATCGGGTCATTGGAAGGCCAACATTTTATGTGGCCAAGCCATCTAAGATGACTCTCCAATCTGATATGCCACTGGAGCTACTCCAACCTTTTCACGTATATACTTGCTTCACATTTTGTCTCTAAGAGTAAAGCCACTCATCCACCATAGCATCCTCATTTTTTATAACATTTAACTTAATTTGATGCTTCTCTTTAAATGGCCAACATTCTGCACCATAAAGCATTGCAGGTCCCACTACCATCTTATAGAATTTTCCCTTAAGTTTGAGGGATACTTTTCTATCACACAACAAACCTGATGCATTACTTCACTTCAACCATCTAACTTGAATTTTACTAATAATATTCCCATCAATTTGACCATCATTTTGAACAATAGACCCAAGATATAAGAAAACAACTCCTATTTAATTAAAATTTTCAAAGGAAATTATTCTGCCTAAATTTTTTATAAAAATTATTCTATCAATATTTTTTATAAAAAGTTATTTCATTAGAATTTCTAACGAAAATTATTCCGATAGGATTTTTTATGAATTTAAAAGCTATGCATTTTTAAAAGGATTATTTACCAAAAATGGGATTTCAGGCAAAACTGTCAATGAATTTTCCGCAAGAATTTTGAAATAAAAAAAAATGTAGAATATTTCTAACAGAAAATCCTTCATAATATTTTAATTTTTATTGGATTTTCTCTTAAAAACTTACTAATTTTTTACTTAATACTAACAAACTTCTATAGTAAAAAATATAAAATTTCCCTAAAGAATCCATCAAATACAACCAAAATACAAGGCATTGCACCCAACCACTCCCATTTCCTTCTTTTCTCCTCCTCACTATTTCTAGATCTCTCCTCCCCACCTCACTTAGCTCCTTCTTCCTCTTTAGTCTTCCTCAATCTTTCCTTTCTTCCTATCTCAGGAACCACCAGCAGCCCCAATTTTCTCCTCCATTTTTGTGATATTTTGGATTTTAGAAATAGATCTCATTATTGAGGAGAAGTAGATTCCATTGTTGAGGAGTTTTGGCTGTAGCTGGATCTAGTCTATTTCTCTGTTTTTTTTTTTGGGTTTAGATTCATCATTTTCGTTCCCACTATTCTTAATGATATAAACTTCTCTTATCATTGTTTATTTTTCAATATAATGCCTTCTTTGAATGTTTTTCATTATTATTTCTCATAGGTAATATATGAAAATTTGTATTGATTTTTCAATTATATTGGTAAATTTTATGGAAAAATTATTGATTTGTGGGTTTAGATTCTGAGAATAAATTTGGAGTATTAATAAATTTTTAGATGTTAGTTGACAGTATAGCATAATTTATGTAAGAAATTTTCTAAAAAATTTGTTCTTTTATTCAGAGTTTATGTGAATAAATTTAATAAATTATAATGAACTTTTATATTTAGAGATTTTGAAAATTATAAAAGTAAAACATGCATGTTTTAAGCTTATCATCCTATTCTTAATATGTTTATAATTATTTGTGTATGTTAGTTGCTTGATAGAAATATTTATAATAATGTAGGTTTAGCATGTTTTTTGTATTACGTTAAATACTGAAATATAAATATTAAAGAGTCTCTTAGTTAGATGTATGATAGGCTACTTCTTCAAAGAAAGGGATTAACAAATGAATTTTTTAATGGGGTTGAGATGTTCATTAGTACTGTATATCAACAGTAATTATTTCTTAATGAGGATAAAATTAGATTTGTGTGTTCTAATCATACAATAATGACAATCCTTTATCCCATTATGTGGGGTTGGTTACATGAATTATTTTTCTCCATTGTGTCCTATTGAGAGTCAAATTTTCATTTAATCTAATTATAAAAAATGTCAATTCTAATACTTTCTAACCAAATCTTTTGAAGTTACCTCTATCTTTCTTAATATAGGTTGGATGTAATACATCTACTCTCCTAATCAGAAGACCGACATTTTAATCATAAAAACCAAAAAATTATGATAATTAATAAAAGGTCAATTTATATAAAAGAGAATTTATGCCTGATTTTTTTTTTTTTTTGGAAAACGAGTATCGGCCCGCTGCCACGTCAGCTTGTGACGCGCTTGGCTGTGTCCACTAGAATTTATGCCTGATTATTAATATTAAACATCATATGACCAGTAAGATCCATAATATTGAAACTTTCCATTACAAATAGATGTTCATAAAACTACACAAAAATACCTGATTGACAAATAAATAGACATTAAGAAATAATCTTAGATGATATTGGCTCATCACTGGAAATAGTTTATCCAAAACTTCCTATGATATAATTGGTGCCTAAAGCCTTCCAAGTCGTTTGGAGGCTGTCCTTAGGTGTTTTTAGTACGTAAGGAGAGATTTTATGCTTCTTGAAGTAATTACCCCAAGCATAAATTAGATCTCACAAGGCTTCCCATAATTTTTTAAATATCCTACGAAATGGATCTATTAGGCATTGGCAAGGAGAGCCAGCAGTGAATCAACAAGGGGGAACACAATTTGGAAGGTAATGATATCTTAGAGAATAATTAGTTAAAAAATATATATATAATAAATCAACTGAAGCTAGAGTTTACATTGAAGCCATTCCCATTTACTCTTTTGATTGAAATTATACACTCCCTCGGTGTGCTTTGCTACCACATTTGGTCATTGCTAGATTTCAACATTAAAACAAAAGGCAATTTAACTTTTTCAGCACGATTGGAAAAGAGGATAGTAGTTGGAAGTCGAACCCTTCATTAGAGGCTACAAAACAACTATGGATGCATAAATACCAATTTTAGGTTGTAGGAGATCGTCAGCTATTACTAACAAAGAGGGAAGAGAGGACCAAGAACCTAACTATTCTGGGAAAATTGAAAGAGGGAGAGAGGTGAGGGTGGAGAAATTTTTTGAGAAATTTATTTGCAAATTCACTCAGCCCAACTAGCCTGAAATAAAAAAATAATTGCACTTTATTTATAAGAAAAACTAAAATCAGTTTAAAAATACAATTCAAATTCAAATCAACATTCAAAAAAAAAAAAACAAGCCTTTATCCCACTACATGGGGTCGGCTACATGAATCTTTTTTCTCCATTATATTCTATTAAGAGTCAAATTTTCATTTAAATATAATAAGAAAGGTCATTTTCAATACTTTAACCAAGTTTGTTTAGGTTTACCTCTACCTTTCTTAACATAGGTCAGTTCTAATACATCTACTGTCCTAACAGGGTCATCAAAAGACTGAAATTTTAAATGATCAAACCATCTAAGGTGACCTCTAATTTTATCTACCACTGGAGTTATTCCAACCTTTTCAAGTATATACTCGTCTCACATTCTATCTCTAAGTGTAAATCCATCATCCACCTAACCATCCTCATCTATAAATTACTTGATTTTATACTTCCCTTATAATTGCTAACATTCTGCATCATAAAACATTGTTGGTCTCACCACCATCTAATAAAATTTTCCCTTAAATTTTAGGGGTACTTTTCTATCACACAATAGACCCAATGCATTCCTCAACTTCAACCATCCAACTTAAATTCTGCCAATATTATCACCATCTATTTCATCATCGCTTTCAACAATTGACCTGAGATATCTAACACGTACATTCTTTTAAATAATTTGATCACCCAATGTCACAATTCTATCACTAAATCTATTACTACTAAAATTACATTCCATATATTAGGTTTTAGATCTACTCAAACGAAAACCTTTAGACTCCAATGCTGACCTCCATAATTCAAGTTTTTCATCAACTCCCTCTCTAGCCTTCTCAACAAGAAGAATATCATCAGCAAAAACCACACACCAAGGTACATCCTCCTGCAAATATCTAGTAAGAACATCTATGACATAAGCAGAAAGATATAGGCTTAAAGTTGTTCCTTAATGTAATCCAACTGAAATAGGAAAATACTTGATCAAACAACTTTATGTTTGAACACAAGTAGCAACTATTATATACATATCATTATTGGCTAGAACAAAAGCATTATTAACTTCTTCTTTTTTTCTAGAACTTTCTAGAGCATTTCTCTTGGAACTTTATCATATGTTTTCTCTAAATCAATAAATATCATATGTAAATTCTCCCTCCTCTCTATAAACTTCTTCATCAAACCTTTCAACAAATGTATAATCTCCATAATAGACCTGCCTGGCATGAATCCAAACTAATTTTGAAAACTATTAGTATCACATCGCAACTTCTGCTCAATCACTCTCTCCAATAATTTTAATGTATCACACAATAACTTAATTTCTATATAATTCGCATACTCTTTTGCATCACTTTTATTCTTAAAAATAGAAACTAACACACTCCACTCATTTGACATCTTTTTAGTCCTCAAAATAATATTTAAAATTTTAGTAAGCTAAGAAATTCCTTAATCTCCTAAGCATTTCCATATTTATATTGGAATATTATGTCCTATTGTTTTTCTACACTTCTAAAGCCTCTTCAACTTCAATTATACTAATACGATGATAAAAACAAATTTTTATTTTCATTTAGGCAGCTAAGGCCATTAAAGCCAATTGTATTCTCACAACCTTCATTCAAAAATTTATCAAATAATCTCATCCACCTATGTATTAGCAACTAAATTCCCAAAACATAGCATCTAACACCTTAATTTTAGGATATAAAAAAGTTAGAAAAATCACTAAATATATGCAAGAGACAAATCCCTTGTAATACTTCAAGGCTTGACTGACCAGAGCTTCTAAAAAGAGTTTATTGTGATTTTGTTCTATGACTCCACTTTGTATGCCACTTTTGTAGTAGAATTTGAATCTTAAACCCCTAGGTTTAGACGGCCCTCTTCATGAGGCTGAATTAGTTCTGGTTCATAATATGAATCATCCTAGAGCTATTGGGAGACTTGTGAATGAGCTATGAATCATCTAAAAGTACCTTGGGATATTGTGAGATCAATTGGCAAGAAATCAAAAGCAATGCCTTCAACCCCACAACTAGGAGGTTCTTGAAAACCCAAAGTGTCAACAAGAGGCCCTTGATGACCAAAGGAATCAAAAGGATACCAAAATTCTTTGGAAAGAATGAAAACTTTTGATCTGAATGGCTAGAAGGTCTTCTTTGACCAAAGATATTGATGGGTGGGCCTTGATGGCTCAAGGATCAATAAGAGATCAACATTGTCATATTCTGATCTGCAAGCTTTAAACATAATGAAAAGAACATAGCAGCTTCTATCTAAAGATATCTGAAATGACTAAATGTTTATAACTCTTGAGATACAAAAAATCATGGTACCATATTCTATCTAAAGAGATGGGCACTTCCTTATCATATTATGTTCAATGAGATTGAGAAAGATATACCAGCTTCTAATGTGCATATTCAACTGCTTCCCAATAAATAAATAAAGACAAAGATTTGCAGTGCTTTTGGTGACATAGATCGATTCAAATGATTTTTTTTTACTGATGCAACTAATAAAGCGTGCTCAATGAAACCATGGAAACCAGCCAGCCATGTAACAAAAAGAGAAAAAAACTTGAAACTTCACAAACCTCCAGAAAGCAATAAATAGCACTGCAAAGAAACATACATCACTAAAGCCCGTCAATTAATTCATTATCCAACACAATTTTTTTTTTAATTCAAAAGACATCAGAAAGCATTTTATAAACTCAACAAAATACCACCTTTCGAATTGTTGTGGAAGTGAATTTCAAGCACAGGAAAAAAAGAAGTTAAACCGTTGAACTAACTACATTGATAAGTTGATAAAGAAAATAATTTCGATAAGCAAAAGGCTTGAAGGGTTTAGCTTACCGAGACGAGAAACCCGGGGCGAAGGGAGGAGGAAACCATAAAGGCCTCCGAAAGCCAAATCCTGGAGTGGCTGCCGTTGGAGGGAAACGTTTCTGCGTCAGATACTACCCCGCGGAAGGCTGACTCGGATATAAGGTGAGGGAACCGAGCAGCGGCATCGGAGAGGAGCCGCCTATTAAAGGCGTCGTCGGAGGCTTCGCTCACCGGTTCCCGGCAAGGAGTAGCCGGAGATGGAGCGGCGGGAGAGCGTCCAAGCGAGGACTTCGACTGCTTCTTACCCTTCGAAGGCATCTGCCCGAGATTGGATTGCGCTTAAGCGGCGGCGCCGTTTGCTTCTCTCCTTAGCGGAAGTCCTGGCATTCGGGCAAGGCGAAGTCGGCGGAGGTCAATTTCAATAAAATAGTTTATTGACATTTTATAGAAAAAAAAATTGAAGATTAGTGCTTGATCACATAATTAATAATTTACTTGCTAAGCTCTTTAATGTTATTAGAATTGTGTGATTAAATACATCATGAAGTAATTTTGTATTTTGACATTTAATTCTTTTCAAAAAAAATACTCAAATTTCTATAATACATTTAAATTATTTTTATTAATTAACTAATAAATTTTTAAATCCAAATTATAAAATAATAAGCATACATATTTATTTTTTTAGTAATCAAATTTATTATGTGAACTAAAAGATAATGTTAAGTGATTACACAACATCAACAATAAGAACAACAAGCCTTTTTCTCACTGTGTGGGGTACGTGGGGTCCACTACTTAAATTATTTTTCTCATTTATAATCATTTATAAGATCTCAAGTTAACTTCCTAAGAAAATATTCCACTCTAAATAAATATGCATAAAAAATAATATTTTTACCTAGGCAATAGTTTATTATCTTAAAAATTTAACACCAAATCATTGTTTAAAATTGTGCAATATGAGGCTCGCCTCAACATAATTTCAGTGAAAAACACCTCGAGGCTTACGCCTCAAACTTTTTTTATGAGGCTTACACCTCATCTTGTCTGAGGCCCGCCTTGAGGCGCACCTCATATCGCTGGCATGAGGCATACGCCTCGCTCTATCTATGTATGTTTTGTATTTGAAACTTAGCTAAATCTTATACGAAAGCCCCAAAAAAATCATGCCCTCTTGCGCTCCAAAGCCGCATTAACTTCCTCTCAAATGCCTCAACCTCCAGCCCATCACCTTCGCCGTAGCCACCACTTTCATAATCACCACAGGGGATAACTTGAAATCCGCATATTGTCACCATCTCCTATAAAAATTTAAGCATTACTGTTATTTTATATTGATGAAAAATGTATCTGAAAGAAGAAGATTGTTGAAATAAATAAAGAAGTAGATTGATAGGTATTGGACCCTACATGATGAGGCAAATGAAAGGCCAAATTGTTATGATGACTCAAATAAAAATCCCCTTAGTAATAATAGTACAAATGATTTCTGATTTGTTGTTAATTATTTTAACTTTATTAGTAATTAAATGTGGATGAGTAGGGAATTAAGAAAGAATAAATTTAGATCTAAACTTGATGTTATATAATACATTTATGCAATTTATATATTTTATGCTATTTTTCTCATGTGATATTTAGATTTCAATTCTATTTCATATAATTTATTACTTATCACTTTGCATTTTGTGTAATTTTTTGTTTCATATGTATGTGAACCTCCGAAAGGACATCGCCAACTGCAGAGTGCAGAAGGTATACAACCGCATCACCCTGAGGGGTAGAGACGATCGCAGGCCTCCACGCTCCTCACAAACGGGTCAATGGAAGGGCAGATTAGATCGTACATACAATTAACCATTGAGGATAGCGGCTCTCGCCAGCGCACCCCGATTGGTAGTAATATATACGACCTGATTAAAATAATGGGTTTCCCCCACCATATACATCAGCTTAGTGGAGTTTATTTGATGGTAGAGTTCCATTTTCAACGGGCGCAAGCCCCTTTGGTTAATTACATCTCGAGCCTAGGGCCCAAAAAAACTCTCGATTAAGGATCTAATATTATTCTTCTCACAAAAGAGGGATTGACACAAAAGAGGAGACTAGGAAATTCTACTCAAAAGGAAAGAAATGACTCAAATGGCTTAGTCAACATACACAGTTCATCTCAGCATCCAGAGGGACTAAGGCAGTAATGACAGAAAGAGAATCATACACTCAAAATATTCATAGAGAAAGGATAGGAGTGGTGTCATCTATGTGACGCAGATAGGTAGGATTTATAGCTCCCGAAGAAAAGGAACTTACCTACCGATGAGGCGTAGTACGAGACCCGAATGTAGTAGCCTTGAACGTTAAATATAAGATGGGTTTAGTGTTCTACCCAACACTAACACCCGTGTCCTAACTAATGCACTTGGGCTTACATCCTGCCTGAAAAGGAAAGCCAGCTAATCATCTAAGCAGATAAAATCCATACAGTCCAGTCTTTATAAAAGATAGGTATATAGGTTGAATGTTTTGGAAGTAGGGTTGACATCTAGAGAGTTTTTTAATTGGCAATGGACTTATGTAGGGTGAATGCCCCTAGTTCTAATGCAATTAAATTTTTAATTAGTAGTTTCTAATATAATACATGCTAGTTAAAAAGTCCAAATCATGAATGCATAAGATTTTAAAAACAAGCTTATATAAACAAAATTAGAAAAAGACTGGGCCTCTTCAAGTTCGGCACTTCATCCTCATAGGTCAGATTATCCGAACTCTACCCACAGACGGGGAGGTGTCTTATTAGAAGGAGAGAGAAAATGCATTGATATGCATGCGACCCCGGACGATTCCTGCAATTTCCTAGCTCGTTAGATTTCTATGTTATTTAAACCTTAAAATTTTGAATATTAGTTACGAGTAGAAAAGTTTTTTTATCCTAAAGAGCCTAGCGAAGATCAGGCCACACACATGCAATAAAGAAACATAAGAAAAACAGACGATTTCTACTACGCACCGAAAATAAACATATCAATATAAATCCAGAAAAATCATAGTAAAGTAAAGTCCACAGCAAGTGCCGTATAAGTACAACCCATGGTATGTAGAAAAGTAGTGGTAGCCAGGCTCCACCGATAACATCATGGATTCTAATCCTAATAAATGACGCAAGTCTTAAAAGCCGAGAATTTTTTCTTCAAGCCTTCGTCTTCGAGTGGATCTTCCTTCTCTGGATCATCTCCTTTCGAATCATCTCCTTCAGGTTCCATCTGGTTCGTCCTCCGGAAGGGTACTCAAATGACTAAGAAATTTCCCGAGATGGGGTCTTTCTTATTCTCTTTGGGTACCGAGTGTTTAAAATGTCAGACTTTTAGAGACTTTCACAACTCAATGCATAATAAATTACATTACAATATAAAAAGAAAAATCTAGATCCAGACTCCTATATGGTTATCCTAATGAAAATCATCCCAAGCAGTTTAATATATCACATCCCAAGCAGTTATATTTGTAGAAAAAGTAAATACTAATTATATAATGTATTATTTATAAATGTAATATTGTGAATATTTTTTACACTTACTTCTAAAGTTCTAATATAAAATTTTACCTTTTGATGTTAAATATGTAAATCTAATTATGGAATTGCGGGTCAGGTCGTGTTAACCAAAAATTGAACCAGGTCCACTTCTGGTTGAAAAAATGGACCCGAATCCTAAATCAAGTCATGTTAAAAATTGTTTTGTCAAAGTCAGGTTGGACCCACAAACACAACTTTACACTTCTAATAATAATGATGATGTTGTGACCCTATATTTGTTATTTATGTTTTTTTTTTTTTGGATTAAGAACATTAATTTTCTTATTACTTATAGGTGGCAAAGAGCTTAAACCTACTACATTGATGCTACATATTTAAAATTTAATGCATTTTATATGATTTTATTGAATGTGACTTTGTTGTGACTATTAATTGTATTTTAATTGTCATATTGAATGTATTATGATCTATTACAATTGGTTATGTAATTAGAATATGAATTCATTAATTGTCATGTTTGTGATTAGGAGAGATTTTAATGAGTTGGTACTTGATTAACTAAGATTTTATTTTATAATAATTTTCTTACTGTTTTCTAAAATAATTTTGTATAAAGAAATTATTTTAATGAGTTGGTAAATGAGTTCTAGCAGGACTAAGTATAATTTCTTAGTAAAATATATTTTATTAGTCAAAATTTTTGTGCGAGTGATGTTAAAAGAGAAGATGCATTATTATGCATAGAATCTATGAGAAAGAAGGCATATAAGTTTATTAATGCTCATTCAAGTTGAGTATTGGCATGTGAATTTAGCATATAAATATATAACAATAAGCCTATTAAAAAAAATATAATAGTAATTATATCAATCAAATGCTTAGTCATAATGATAGCCACTCACTGAAAAATATTAGGAGGCAATAGTGTGTCAAAGTGGTGTTTATGTCCATGAATAATGTAAGACTAAGAAATAACTCATGAAAATATCAAATGTATAGATACATACCTAGCAAAATCTCCTCTAAGCTCCATAACCAGGGGGGGAGATCTTGAAATTTTTATTAGCACGGTGCACAAATTGATGATTTTTAATATACTACTATTTTTTGTTATTATTTTCTTTTTTTAAAATAATTCATAGTAAAATAGTATTTTAAACTTTCAAGAATGTAAGTTACTACTTATAAATTTATGTCATATATGAAAAGTTAACACGAAATTTCCTCATATATCTTTGCAGGATTTAATAATATTTTAACTAAAATACAGTGAGCACTAAAGCATAAATTAAGTACTCTATGGCTTGATAGATAAGATGTTGTCATGTGAAAGTTAAGAACTGGGTTTGAATTCTATAAGAGTCACCTTTCTTATTAGTTATAGGTAATATTTAGCTTTTAAAATAAATTGATTTAGGCCTTTTAATTGATGGGCCTTGGACCCCATTGTAGCTCTGCCCATCTCCATAACACTATCTCTTGTGTCATCCACATTGATGATAATATCAAGTATTAATATCATGTAGGGTTATCACAATATTAGATAATATAGGTGGAGTAAGTTTGTGATAACCTACCTATATGGTAAATGCTAAGCTTCAAATGAGTAAAAAGAATATAATTGGAGGTGTCAAAAATTGACATTACACGAAAACCCAACCCAAATTTTGTGGGTTAGGGAAACCCGTTTAAGAACGGGTCAGGTTCGAGTCCCTAATTTCGACCCATTTTAAATTTTAGCTCAGGTCAACCCAGAAACTCAATTTTTGCCCAAGGAACCATGCAAGTAGTCTCGTCTGTCTAATTATATGTGTATTCATAGATGGATGCTTGATTTAGGTTTATCCTAATGCGCATATTCATTATTTCATTT